TAAGAAATTATTAGCATTGTTCACTACAGTACATACGCTGCATGTTATATTTGGTCATTTATTTGTAAATCTTGTGTATTATACATTTATATTAACCACGTTCATTGAAATTTGAATAATACCTTTCTGTGTAGAAATAAAGAAAAGATTAATCAGGTGGAATCCATGAAAAACAAATGATTAACCCTATATATTAAGCATACGGTATATTAGGGAAAATTGTTGTTTTTTTTTTTTGTTTTTTTTAATGAATTGGTGTTTTTTTCTTTCATATTGACTTGAGAATTTATTAATGAGCTTTGCATGTGGGATTACCTCCCCTGACTTATATAGAGCATTAATAATGTACCAGATACATCACTTCATAGTCTTAATGCAAAGATTATATTTATATACAAAATAATAAAAAGGCAAAATTAAGCTATTAACATGTAGACATACAATGTCAACATGGCATAATATATACATTCTTTGACTATTGTGCTACAAAAGGTAACTGAAAAATATATAATTGGAGCTGTTTTACACATCAAGGTAACGAGACAAATTGAGTGGTGATTACGAACATATTAACCTCTTTCATAACAATACATAATTGCACATAGAATGACTTGAGAATTTATTATGCTTTGCTCCCCTGACTCATTTAGAGCATTAATTATTAGTACTCAGTGATTTACTCAAGAATGATGTAAGGGCAGACTGCAACAGATACATTACTTAATGCAAAAATAGCCCAATTTATTAAATTACACAAAATAGTTACCCTATGTCTTTAACGAAAAGTTGGTGCTACCTAAGCGAAAGTTTTCGAATTTACACAAGAACTTTGAATGCACTGTTTCATGTGGAGTTACCTCTCCTGACTCCTACACACTGTAGAGACTGAGTATTCAGTGGGTTAGCCCAAATGATATAAGGGCCAAATGCAACATAAACATCACCATATGTGCATGTAGAGTTATCTCCCCTAGGCTCATATAGAGTAGCTGCTATAATATGTAACATGATAGCTCGACAGTACTGACTTCTGTATAATGGTTAAACTATGACTATAGTTCAATCGTTATTTGTAATAGTTTCGCCATGTTCATGGTTCTAAGCATTTCATGCTTGTAAATGATGAGTTAACATGAGATTACACATACATTAGCTGACAGTATGACATAAACTCTGTAAAGCTGTACACATACATGCATTGTAATCTTAATACCCCTAGTGAGCTGTGTACTTAGGGGTGGGGTGGGGGTATTAACAACTGTAAAAAGGTGCGACCAACGGTATTACATAATATAACTTAATTTACAGAAAATGGTTCATTGTGTTGCACTATTTACTTAGCACCAGTTCCTGGTCTCTGCCAAGCATTCTCGGCTGGTTGTGGAATATATTCTGTAATGTCCCCAGGGTGTCGCACAAGTTTCTTATCAGAGTCTTTTGTTAATTTAAAGAATATTCTGCCGTCTTTGGTCCAGTATGAGTCTATCATTCTTGCTTTCCTAGATCGAGCTAGGTCAGACACAATTTTTTGTCTCTGTCTGTCTGGTTAAGTCCTCAGATATGAACACATTGTAACTATCCGATCTCTGGTTTTTAAGGGCCTTCTTAGACTTGTAGATGTTGTTTTTTATCCTCCAGTTCCTAAAACGGCAGATGATTTGGCCTTTTCCTTGTTGTATTTTCCCAATAATGTGTGAACGGTTAATGTCCTCTTTGGTAAGTGGAGGAGACAGATGTAGTTTATCGTTACATATCTGGATTACCAGGTCATCCGTTTTATCTAGATCTCTCGCCTCCATCGGCACACCATGAAATCGTAAAGATGTTCTCCGGCCATACTGTTCTAATTCTTCTAATCCTGACTCCAGTGTTTCAAATTTAATGTTGAGAGACTGAATTTCTGTACACAGTTCCTTATTATTTTAACAGCAACAGTAGGGGTTTTAGGTAGGCTTATCATGAGTGATATTGATCAGAGCACATGAGATTTTGGCTGGTTGTTTACAAATCGTACGCGTGCAGGTTGTTGGTCAATGTTCGTACTCACCCATGCGTAAAAAACATCGCTCAGATTTGGGGTCTGGCTGATAGAAAAAGTCCGATATATAGACAATATATGCTAATATTGCATGCTTGGTATTGACAATGTGTACAACAGTGTTATTACAATGAGAAAAAGTGAGATTAGGATATATTAGTCACTTGAACAGACTGACTGGGACTCAGGTTTTTAATTACCACAGGTGTGGTGATCTTGCTATCAAATGTTATATTTGATTATGATTCTGTATTATAATAATTTGTATGTCCATTGCAACAAAAGTGAGCTTAAAAGATAATTAAGAAATGAGGGATTTCGACTGTAGAACTATTAATGCTGAGAAACTATTGGTAATCCTAAACTGAGACTGAGAACTAGCTTTTATGCCCCTCTGTTATATAGGTGGGGGCATATATACATGTAGTGTTACCCACACCCATCCTGTACAGTCGGAGTCCTGATAACAAAGATCAAGTACTGTACTAGAAAAACTGAAATGAGTTAGTATTCTAGGGTTTCAAAATCAATGGCAAGGTCTATATACATATTACTACTTACAAGAATGTAAGTGTTGTTTATTATTTTTTATTATTATTAATAAAAAGGACTATGTATGGTTTGGGCATGTTTTGGCCCCCAAATGCATCAAAATTCAAAACCTTTAAATGAACTTTTAAATGTCTGTTTCTTTAATTTTGAAACCTTCCCAAATACTATAATGAAAACATTTATTTATATTTCTAGTTATTGTTGCCATGGTAACAAGTTAAAATTTGCATTAATTAGAAGAATTTGAATATTCAGTGAATATTGTCATATTTTGCATAGTTTTTCTCCTGGAAACTATAAGGCACATGCTTGAACAAACTTTATATCAAAGGATAATGTGTAGGCACCTGTAATACATCTTTAGGAGAAAAAAAGTTTGTTCAAGAGTGTACTCTATGGTAGCTAAGAGAAAAACTAGGGAAAACCTGTCAAAATTGACTGAATATTCAAATTTCATAAATTTATGCAAATATTAACTGGTTTCTTTGGCAGCCATAATTGAAAACACAAATAAATGTTTATATAATAGTACCGGGGAAGTATTAAAAATTAAAGAAACAGTCATTTGAAAGTTCTATTGAAGATTTAAATGGATTTTGGGGCCAAAACGGCCCAAACTATGTATAGTCCTTTGTCTAAAAATTCAGTGATTAAATCACTCAAGTTATTTCATTTCTTTACAAAGGTCAAGAGTAAGAACACCTCAGATAATTCAATATTTAAATTTTATGCCGAGGTTACCATTGAAACTTACAGAAAATATTGTCAAAATAATGAAACTGTTAATTTGTATGGGCGTATGGCATCAATAAGGGGAAGTAATCCAGTATATCATTAATCACAAACATGTTTAATTATTCTACTTAAAAATTATTCTTTAATTTCAAAGTTCCTCACAAATGTTCTAGCGTTAAACATTACCAGGGCGGTATAAACAATTAACATATAGTACATCATACGAAATACAAGACGAAGAACAATAACCAATTAGCTACTATTTAACTGTCAGCACTGTGTTATAACATTTCCTTTCAGCTGACCAAGCCAAAGCCAATATATATCACAGAAACCATCTCAAACCAAACACAATATATATCACAGAAACCATCTCAAACCAAAGACAATATATATAGCACAGAAACCATCTCGAACCTAAGCCAATATATATCACAGAAACCATCTTTGGTATAGTAGAAGGAAATGGGAATGCCTAGTTTGTTAGTAAGTATGTAAGGATGTGTATGGGAGTGTGTAAAAATGTAGGAGTAGAACGCCCAGTTTGTTAGTAAGTATGTAAGGATGTGTATGGGAGTGTGTATAAATGTAGGAGTAGAATGCCTAGTTTGTTTGTAAAGATGTGTATGGGAGTGTGTATAAATGTAGGAGTAGAATGCCTAGTTTGTTAGGAAGGATGTAAGGATGTGTATGGGAGTGTGTATAAATGTAGGATTAGAATGCCTAGTTTGTTAGTAAGTATGTAAGGATGTGTATGGGAGTGTGTATAAATGTAGGAGTAGAAGCTTGTGTTATGAAAAAAATGTATGCTTTACTACAGGTATTGGTCACCTGGCCACCTTGGTCCTTAGCTGTGCAGGGCAATTTTTTAGACTGATCGGATAAACAACATGGCCGACAGGCTGCCATCTTGGATTTTGATTATGTAGGTTTGTTACTGCTATTTCTCCGGAAAAACTAAAGGGATCTTTCTTCAATTTTATATGTAGGTTCCCCCGTGGTCCTTAGCTGTGCAGGGCAATTTTTTAGACTGATCGGATAAACAACATGGCCGACAGGCTGCCATCTTGGATTTTGATACTGTAGGTTTGTTACTGCTATTTCTCCGGAAGAACTAGAGGGATTTTTCTTCAATTTTATATGTAGGTTCCCCTTGGTCCTTGCTGTGCAGGGCAATTTTAGAGGCTGATTGGATAAACAACATGGCCGACAGGCAGCCATCTTGGATTTTGATAGTGAAAGTTTGTTATCGCTATTTCTCGGAAAGTACCAGAGGGATCTTTCTCAAATTTTATATGTAGGGCCCCCTTGATCTCTCGTTGTGCATGTTATATTTTGAGACTGATCATAAAAACAAAATGGATTAAAAGAAGAACTAAACAGATCTTTCTCATATTGCAATGATCGATTCTATTTCTATCACATTAAGTACTGTACTAGTAAATATGTGAAATGACAAACTCACTTTGAAGGTTGGCCTTCATACACATTAGTATTAAGTTTAGATCAAAAGTTACCTCAAGGTGCATTTACTGTTAACATGACTCGATCAAACAGATTAGAGGAAAGAAGAGAAAAGATCGAACTGACAAAGAACTATGAAGATGGTACAAAGGTGGGTGCCAAGGTCCCTCTGGGATCTCTTGTTTGTTAATTCCATCCTCTCTTTTTTTAGGAACATCCGATCCTGGGGCGGCCATACTTCCAGCTCCACCCCTGTCACACTGCCGACCTGATGGAACAGGTGGTAGGTCTCTTTCCCCCAGGACAACACAGGTAAGTACAAACATGTACAACTTGGAATCACGTCAGAATTCGTGATCAACTATTACTATATCCCAATTGATCAATGATTGATCATTGATCGAAAATAAAATGAATCAAAAATAGAGAAGCATTCATCATAATATGTAAAATGTGGTGGATATACTCTTCAGTTACTCATAGCCATAGGTAGAAATGTTGTTCAAATGCAGTTTGTGGTAAACATTATCAATAGAAGTACTGCTTAGTTTTCAGGTCTGCTGCTTATCAAAATACCGCTGTTAACTCTTTATAATGTTGACAGTTTTCATGTTACTGTAAAGTCAAACCATGATCAATCATTGAAATCATGATCAATTTATCATAGTCGGAGGTAAAATGGCTGACCATCAATTAAATTGATTAATTGGAGCCAAACTACAAAAAAACACCCAGGTAGTCAGAGTCAAGTCCCAAAGTTCTTTCCTCCAGAATAACAGATGAAAACAAGCCCAAACCTTTTCTCCATCAAGACTGCACAGGCAGGTGCACAAAAATGCATTAGTTTTCTCTTTCAGGATAGTTTAGTGAGGCAAAAACAAGCACAGAAGTTCTGTCCCCTAGAACAGCACAGAAATGTAATTGGTTATATTTACTCTATGATTGAAGGTTTATATTCACTGTATTCTGGAATTTACTTACTGTATACAAGGATAACGTTTTAAGACAATTTTATATTGATGACTTTTACAGATGATTTTCACAATGAGTTGAACCCACAAATTCAATATTTTTTGTCAAATGACATTGCATACTGCAAAATCACAGTTTAATGTGTATTATTATATTATTTTTTATCTGGCTTACTTAACAGTTCTTTTACACATCATCCTCATATACATGTAACACCAAACCTATTCATAATGCCAACATTTCATTGCTCAAATTCACAAATTAACAAGAGGCCCAATGGGCCTGCATCGCTCACCTGGTATTAATCTCACAATTGTAACCTTAAAAGAGGACTAAAATAAAGCTACAGGCAAAATATCAGCGTCTTGACTTGAAGTTTAAAGTAATTCAGAAAAAATTGGCAAAGTTCATTCATTTGAACAAACTTGGTAGCCCTTCATCCCAGCATGCTTCTGGCCAAATATCATTACCCTAGCCCTTTTGGTTACTGAGAAGAAGTTGTTTAAAGTAAAAAGTTGACGCCGGCCGGACGCCGGACGCCGCACCATGCCATAAGCTCACTTGGCCCTTTGGGCCAGGTGAGCTAAAAACTGTAAAATCAAAACTGTCATTATGATGTTTCATTTTTTCTTCCTTCACAGTAACTACATTGTTTCCTGGCTGAGTGCTGTTGGGCCTGTGGTTGGCCTTGACCTACCTTTGAACTTTGCTCAAATGACCATGGATGACCCGCCATGAACCAGTGTTTTCAAGTGATGCAGACTTGTTGTCATTGATGGCCGAGCTCATGCAATCATCAACCAATTACTATAGTCGAGCTGTTACACTAAATGGGCTTACACATGCTGATAAACAACAGCCAATCATTGCCTTGCTTTCAAATAATTAGGCATGCCAAGATAATGAGTAGTTTTTAGTCCCCTACCGGGAAACCGGGGGGACTATAGTTTTCCCCTCCGTCTGTCCGTGGGTCCGTCCATCTGTCTGTCTGTGCGTCCGTCCGTCTATCCGTCTGTCCGTCTGTCCGAAGAGGTTTGTCAGCACTCTAGAGTCTTCATTCTTTCATGGATTTTAATCAAACTTTACACACATGTAAAGAATTAAAATATCTTCAACAAAATTGAGTTTCAAGGTCATCGGATCAAGGTCAAGGTCATTATTACTATAAATAGAAAAACTTTGTCAGCACTCTAGCGTCTTCATTCTTTCTTGGTTTTTAATCAAACTTCACACAGTCATAAAGAATTAAAATATCTTCGACAAGTTCGAGTTTCAAGGTCATCGGATCAAGGTCAAGGTCACTATTACTATAAATAGAAAAACTTTGTCAGCACTCTAGCGTCTTCATTCTTTCTTGGTTTTTAATCAAACTTCACACAGTCATAAAGAATTAAAATATCTTCGACAAGTTCGAGTTTCAAGGTCATCGGATCAAGGTCAAGGTCACTATTACTATAAATAGAAAAACTTTGTCAGCACTCTAGCGTCTTCATTCTTTCTTGGTTTTTAATCAAACTTCACACAGTCATAAAGAATTAAAATATCTTCGACAAGTTCGAGTTTCAAGGTCATCGGATCAAGGTCAAGGTCACTATTACTATAAATAGAAAAACTTTGTCAGCACTCTAGCGTCTTCATTCTTTCTTGGTTTTTAATCAAACTTCACACAGTCATAAAGAATTAAAATATCTTCGACAAGTTCGAGTTTCAAGGTCATCGGATCAAGGTCAAGGTCACTATTACTATAAATAGAAAAACTTTGTCAGCACTCTAGCGTCTTCATTCTTTCTTGGTTTTTAATCAAACTTCACACAGTCATAAAGAATTAAAATATCTTCGACAAGTTCGAGTTTCAAGGTCATCGGATCAAGGTCAAGGTCACTATTACTATAAATAGAAAAACTTTGTCAGCACTCTAGCGTCTTCATTCTTTCTTGGTTTTTAATCAAACTTCACACAGTCATAAAGAATTAAAATATCTTCGACAAGTTCGAGTTTCAAGGTCATCGGATCAAGGTCAAGGTCACTATTACTATAAATAGAAAAACTTTGTCAGCACTCTAGCGTCTTCATTCTTTCTTGGTTTTTAATCAAACTTCACACAGTCATAAAGAATTAAAATATCTTCGACAAGTTCGAGTTTCAAGGTCATCGGATCAAGGTCAAGGTCACTATTACTATAAATAGAAAAACTTTGTCAGCACTCTAGCGTCTTCATTCTTTCTTGGTTTTTAATCAAACTTCACACAGTCATAAAGAATTAAAATATCTTCGACAAGTTCGAGTTTCAAGGTCATCGGATCAAGGTCAAGGTCACTATTACTATAAATAGAAAAACTTTGTCAGCACTCTAGCGTCTTCATTCTTTCTTGGTTTTTAATCAAACTTCACACAGTCATAAAGAATTAAAATATCTTCGACAAGTTCGAGTTTCAAGGTCATCGGATCAAGGTCAAGGTCACTATTACTATAAATAGAAAAACTTTGTCAGCACTCTAGCGTCTTCATTCTTTCTTGGTTTTTAATCAAACTTCACACAGTCATAAAGAATTAAAATATCTTCGACAAGTTCGAGTTTCAAGGTCATCGGATCAAGGTCAAGGTCACTATTACTATAAATAGAAAAACTTTGTCAGCACTCTAGCGTCTTCATTCTTTCTTGGTTTTTAATCAAACTTCACACAGTCATAAAGAATTAAAATATCTTCGACAAGTTCGAGTTTCAAGGTCATCGGATCAAGGTCAAGGTCACTATTACTATAAATAGAAAAACTTTGTCAGCACTCTAGCGTCTTCATTCTTTCTTGGTTTTTAATCAAACTTCACACAGTCATAAAGAATTAAAATATCTTCGACAAGTTCGAGTTTCAAGGTCATCGGATCAAGGTCAAGGTCACTATTACTATAAATAGAAAAACTTTGTCAGCACTCTAGCGTCTTCATTCTTTCTTGGTTTTTAATCAAACTTCACACAGTCATAAAGAATTAAAATATCTTCGACAAGTTCGAGTTTCAAGGTCATCGGATCAAGGTCAAGGTCACTATTACTATAAATAGAAAATCTTTGTCAGCACTCTAGCGTCTTCATTCTTTCTTGGATTTTAATCAAACTTCACACACTCATAAAGAATTAAAATATCTTTGACAAGTTCGAGTTTCAAGGTCATCGGATCAAGGTCAAGGTCACTGTTACTATAAATAGAAAATCTTTGTCAGCACTCTAGTGTCTTCATTCTTTCATGGATTTTAATCAAACTGCACACACTCATAAAGAATTAAAATATCTTCGACAAGTTTGAGTTGGACAGGTTCGAGTTTTAAGGTCAAATGGTCAAGGTCACAGTTACTATAAATAGAAAATTTTATTTAACATTCTTCCTTGCCTGTTTATCAAACTTCACACACTTGTAAAGATACCTTTACAATCAACAAATAAGATTTCTTAGTATTTTTATTCCCTTACCGGTGAAACTGGGTGGGGGTGGCAGGGAGGGAGAAGAAAACAAGAATACCTAAAGTTTTCCTCGCTGTCTGTCCGAAGAAGTTTGTCAGCACTCTTGCGCCTTCATTCTTTCCTAGTTTTTAATCAAACTTCACATTATTGTAAAGAATTTAAATATCTTGGACAATTTCAAGGTAATCGGGGCAAGACAAGGTCACTATTACTATTTTAGAAAATCTTTGTCAGCACTCTAGTGCCTCATTCTTTCATGGATTTTAGTCAAACTTCACATTATTGTAAAAAAATTCAATATATTGGACAAGTTCAAGTTTCAAGGTCCTCGGATCTAGGTTGAGGTCACTGTTGCATCTTAATAGATTGCGGGGGCCGGTAGGGGACATGTATTGCTTCAGCAATACTCAGTATGCTTGTTTATTTTATATTTTTATTTTTCAAGCATTTTCAAATATTTGTTACTTAAGCATTGAACTGCTTTTGTATGGTATTTATGATCTATTTGCATGACACAGTTTTGCAAGCAAACAACTCATAATGCGCTAGCGTGCATTATGTTGTTTGCTTGCAAAGCTGTGTCATTCAAATAGATCATAAATACCATACAAAAACAGTTCAATACTCATAGTTACGTTTTCTCTGCCTCTTATGTTCTTAACTGATAATTTATATTTAAAATTAAAAATGCCCGCCTTATCGACAGTCGACACAATTTCGTTCAATAGTTTGAACAGCGTATTGTCGCGTGCTGATTGGCGAACAAAGTAGTACTTTGAAATTTTAACAAACACTTCAATTTTATTCCACAATTCAGTATCAATACAATTGCGTATGATATGTCTATAGGGTGATTTAAGTTTATCAATAGAACTCTGAGCTGAAAGTTAGACTTGAAATTGTTTCGATTTCCCCCCGGAACAAATTTCGCGCATGGACAAATACAGTGAACACCGTAAATCCGACCTTGCCCTCCACGATGGAGTTATTTTTGGAAGTTAATTCGAACTTTTCTCTTCGTTCATTTTGTGAAGAAATCCAGGCGTGAATTTATTTGTTGATTGTATGGGAACATGACAACAGTCGGTAGATTCTATAACGGCGTCGTTATTTGACATGTCGTCAGAAATCAGGAACCGCGGATGCGAGACGCGTGAAACTGATAGCGTTTGAAGTGAGTGATCTTGCGACGGAGCACAGGTTCGTTACAAATGTCTGAAATGAAGAATGTTTATGTGTGCTGTGACTCATATCAGTAGGTCTGTAACATATGTGTTAGTAGGTCTATAGAATATGTGTATTTCAGACATTTATAACGAACCCCTGTTGATCAGTGTAGTGTAACAGACGATATTTCTGATAAATTGCATGAGCGTTAAAATTGTTTCCATTGCCGGCATTGGTGATTTCAACCGATGTGCATTTTGTACGATATTGCAGACCTTGGTCTTGTTTTCGTTGTAATAAAAGTGTTTTTTAATTTTATTTTTTATTTTGCACACAAATTTACAATGACATTATCAAATCTCACAATGCCCAGCGATATTTCAGCAGCCGTCATGTTTATTTACATTGGATATTGTAGTTCCGGTCAGTGTTGTAATTAATACGCTAAGAATTATGTCTCGTGCGGCATGGTAATTAAAGTCCCATCAACGACACAGCTTTGAAAGAGGCTATATAGTGACAATGCCATGCAAATGTAAATATATAGCATATGAATGAACACACACGCACCACTCATACACTCCTGCACACCATTTATCGTCGTCATCATCATCATCATCATCATCATCTTAACATCATCCTCATCATCATTATCTCACCATTCATCATCATTATAATTAACTCAGCATAATCAAGTCATAATCTCACCATAAATACATGATCATTATTATAGTATTATCAGCACCTTCATCGCTGCACCTCATCATCCTTATCATCATCATTTTCTATAGCAATATACAATTATGGACTTCAGGTGAGGTCTATCCCTGATTTACGAACCTGGTATGAACAATATTCACAGAGGCTGAAGGCCGAGGTGAATATTTTTCAGACCAGGTCCGTAAATCAGGAATAGACAGAGACTGAAGTCCACAATTGTTTTATTATATGACATTTTACAATGAGATTAATAAATTTTCAATTCATAAACACATGGATGGCATGGACTATTTTGGAATCACAGAGTGAAGGACTTTAAATACAAAATATCATACACACATCAATATTTACATAGTTCAGAATTTGATGAGATAATTCATTTTTAGTTGAATTCAGTAGTTTGATTGGTAACAGAATTACAGACTGCGTGGGAAATTACCTAAGCCTATTTTAGTAGCGGTCTGTAACACTTTTCTATTTATAGGTCGAGGTTTGTAACACTTTTCTATTCATAGAACGAGGTCTGTAACATATTTACAGACTCATCACATGACGTCGCTCCTCCAATCAGGGCTGGGAATTAACACCAGTCATATAATAACACAAGATATTGACTAGTTGCTATGATATTTCCAAAGAAAATTCGTAGGTTGAAC